AGAGATGTTGGGAGCCATTAATCAGGTAACCCTTTCTGTGTGAAAGTATTTTGTACAAAGTTTAAAAGCTTCTAGATGTTGTAAAGGGGTGGTCACATCTGTTTGCTGGGCTTCTGGATCCAGAACAGGATTTGGGAATCTGATGTATGTAGAGTGTAACTGCAAAAAGAAATAAGGTCCTGATTAAAGAGAGAAACAAAAACAAAAAATTGTCAAGGGTAGCCTTGAAGCTCTAATGATGTTTCTGTGCCTTATGGAAAGGGCAGCTAATGAGCTAAATGTAGGGAAATGTGCAAAAGACCTGCTCAAATGCTGGGCGTAATTGTGAATAATGCCACGGGAGCAGCACGAAAACACAACTTGGCAATACCAGCAAATGCGTGGTGGCAGCTTGAGACTGTAGACAGAGAAAAGAGATGAGGAGGAGTTGTAAGAGCTTGGAAAAAGTGAAGACTTCATTATTTATTTTCGGATAAAAGGAATCGGTGGAGAAATGAAACCTGGGCATGTGCTGGGACACGGGTTGTAGTGAAACTTTGAAAGGGTGGATGAAAACGGGCGGATGCTGCTTTGTGGTGATACAAGACGAGAGCAGATGCTGAAGGAGGGAAATTTCCAAACATGATGCACTTCCTCAGAGCTGTTTCCTTTTCCCCCTGCTGCTGCCCTTGCCCTGTTAGGAGAGCCGGGTCAGCAAGGCCGTGGAGGTAATGATCCAGCACGTGGAAAACCTGAAGCGCATGTACGCGAAAGAACACGCGGAGCTCGAGGAGCTGAAACAGGTCCTGCTCCAGAATGAGAGATCCTTCAGCTCCCTGGGAGACAGAGGTAAATAAAGAGAAAAAAAAAAAAAAAACAAGCCCTTTCTAGCACCTGCCAGAGAGACCCTTATAGGTAAAACTTAGATGAAGGGGAAATAACAATTTATTAGTGGTATTAAAAACAGCTCCCTGAGATCAGGCTTGTAAACTGTGATGGATCTTGGAGTTTGTGTGTGGGACCGCTGCAAGTACACAGGAACGTTCTGGCTTTCAGAAAAGTGCACTGCATGTGTTGGTGATAACCTTATTCCCTGTGAGCAGTAAATTTGGGTGCTGGTTCACACTGTGGAGCATTTGCAGGAGCTATTTCGAGGTAGCTGAGCTTTGGCTACTCTCTACAGATGCTTCCTGCCCTTTTCCAAACACGAATTACAGGCTCCTTAAGAGCAGGGGGCCTGAGTTTCCCCCTCTGAGCGGGTGGCACAGCAGTCAGGTTTTCACACAGTGCTGTGCACTTGTGGATTTGCCAGTATGAAGTAGTATTAAGAGAAGTTTTAAACTCTGAGAAATAGAATGTGTCTTTTTAAAAAGCAAAAGGGCAGTCTCTCACACGCCAGTAAAATCCTGGCAGGAGCCTTCTGAATCACAGACTATTCTGTTCTGACTGTACAAAATAGTCCTGTAACAGGACACTGCCTTGCTAATAGAATATATTTGATGATAGTGACAGATATTGACGCTTGCAGAGGATGTGCAATGTGTGGATATTAAGAACTTAATGAATTAGAAAGCTTTTCTCCTGAGATCCCATTTCTGCTTTCTGAGAGTGCTCTCGTACACTCTTTGCCTAAAGAAACGCTGTAAAAAGTCAGACCTTCAGCTGAAAACAGAGCTCAAACTGTGTTCCTGTAAGCCTGTTCTGATGTTTGATCTCTTCACAGATGAATCTACAAATAAAAAGCTACCGAGTCCTTTTAACTTTAAGGTACAGCCTTACATGAAATGTGAAGTTTTTCAGTGTTGTGTACGTGTGCCTTCCTTTGCTTGGTCACGTGCTGGTGCTCTGCTACACGCTTGGCTTGCTGGTTTTCTGTCACAAATATGGGCTGATGTCATCAGACATGAGGATTTACTTCTCAGACACCCTCACCGACTTTGTAAGTCCCACATAGAAGATGAAATGGTCAGACTCTCAGTGGTTAAGAAATACTGTTCATGTACGGTTCTCCCATTGGGGTTAAAAAGGGGTTTAGCACAGAAATATGAAAAAAAAAAAAAACAGATGGGAGCGATTCAAATGGATTACAGGAATTCTTGTGAGCAGCATTAGGGGAATTCAGGCACGTTCAGTTTTGCTGTTTTGCTGGGAGCTGAGCAACCAGCCCCACTCAGGTGCTAAAAACTTAATGATGCTTTAAAGAATGACTTTGCCTGCACTTGTGATTTGGTTCTTTGTGTGTCACTTCAAGCCCAGTATCCACACCTATTTTTTTTTTTTAATACAGTCTGTATAAAAACAGATGGTGTTTTATGTGCTCAGTGAGTAATCCAATGGTTCCTTGATAAGAGCCAGTAATGCCTCTTATTTGTGTAGCCATCGTCAGCCCTGAGGAGAGTTAGCATTGCAACAGTGCCCAGGAGTGCTGGGAATGCAGGGATTGGGTTGCCACTGGTAAGTAGGGGGTTCCCAAAGGGATGGGGAGGTGCCTGATCTTCTCAAAACTGGCTGGGCAGAAGCGTGACGATGACAGTGCAGTCAACGTGCCAAAATTTCTTCTCCAGGCCCAACTTCACGACCCCGACGGAGACGAACGGAGCGAGAGGTTCAGCAGGAGATCAAGCAGTTGGTAAATTCCTTTGGGCTTGTCTTTGTAAAGGGTGAAATAATTTTTTTTTTTTTTCTATTTCTTAACTGTGCCAGTAGTAAACAGCTTATGGGGCATCTCAAGGTATAACAGTGTCTAGTGCCTTTCACATTAGTTTTAGGTGCTACAACAGGTAGATGAGCCTTCATGACTAAATGTTACAGCTGCTCTCTTTTATTTATTTTATTAAGCATTGGAAACTTAAAAAGAACAAGCATCTAAAATGTAAGCTCTAAGTATCAGCCACTGACAGATCTGGGTTTTGGTTGGTTTTGTTTGTTTGTGTTTGGGTTTTTTTCTCCAATAATCGTAATTTCAGGCAATTAATTTTGAAAGTTATTTGTCTAAGGCCTATCTCAATGAGTACCAGCCTGCTAGGTTTCTGATTTCCTGCTATTTCCTGGGGAAATTCAGGCAAATTTGTTTAAAATGTGCCAGGGGGAAGCTAGGGGCGAAGCAAAACGAGAAGCGTCCTTCGCTGCAGCGGTTCCTCAGCACCTACTCCTGGGCAGAGTACGAAGAGGAGCACTTTGCAACAAAGTAAGTCCAACAGCAGCCTCCTCAGGGATGTGTGAGCAGGGTGGGTTGGTTTGGTTTTAATGAACTTTGATGATCAGGGCTATAAAACCCAGCTATTGTGAATTTAGCTTGGTGGCAAAGCTTTGGAGCTGTTGGTTCTTGCCGACAGAAACGAGCAGTCAGAGTCTCCTGCTGAAGCACAGGAACAACCCACCAGGAAGGAAAGTGTCTCTGAGAAAGGAAAACATTCATCAAAATGGACCCTGGAGTCAGTGTAAGTTGTTTGGTTTTTTTTCGTGAGTTAAAGTAATGTTTGTGTGGAAAAGGGAAGCAAAGCTGGAGCTGTGGTTGGGTTGTTAACACTCACTTAAACCAACTCTGAGAAAGTTACCTTGAGCGCCAGAGACTCACCCCTCCAGGAATTCATTCCTAATCCTAAATGCTGAGGGAAAGAGAAGCCTCGTGCAATAATCTGACCTCTTTTGGTTACTCTGTGGGAGCTGCTGCAGCTCAGCTACTTGGTCATGCTAGCGTGTAATCTTGTAAAAATGACTAAAGGTGACACAAGCAGTTATCCAGGCTAACTCCAGACTATCCCAGTTAATGCTGTCCCTGGGAAGCCCCTGCCTTACAGAAAAGGGGGCTTGTTGCCTCTGCAGGGGAGAATAAAACCATTTATTCCATATGAACATGGAATGTTAAACCTCCCCTGGAAGCATTCCTGATCGAGGGAGAGACAAGACAATTATGCCAGTGTGTGAAACCAAGACAGCAAGGACAAATATATACTATTTTCAATTGTTCCATAAAGGATGGAGGTACCCAGTGTCATGAGGATTTGGATAGTCAGGGAGGGTAAGACTTTTCTCCTAACCTCAGGGAAGGCACCAGAGCCATAGAAAACAACAGAAGGCCAGAACTTTTAGCAAGATGTCTTGATGATCTTGCAAGGTGAATCCTCTTCAGAAATAGTGTGTGGTCCAGGGAACAGGGGTGGACTTGTTATCTGGGTGAGCCACCTAAAACTCACTTTCCTGAGGGTTGCATTTTAAACCCTGAACACAACCTACAGTACCAACCTTGTCACTTTTGATAAAGATCTCTGTTTGTGGGATCTGATTGAGGTTTTTTTTTTTTTTGAGGTGGGGTGGGAAGAGCTTCTGAGTTGTGAGGGGAAAACCATTCTCTGCCTCACACTCCTGCACAGGTACAACCTGATGTCATCGTGGGCGTCCCACTTCAAGGCTTCCTTTTCCAACGCCAACAAAACCCTGTGGTTCTCCGTCTCCATCCTGGTGCTCCTGGCTGCCCTCACAAGCTTCCTCACGGGGCTGTCCCTCCAGAGACCTGCAGATGCAGCACCTGTAGGGACTGGGGACTCCTGGACATCACTACAGCAGCTGCTGTGGCCCTACACGAGGCTCCAACACAACGGGCCTCCCCCGGTATAACCGAGGTTCCGACTTCTTGTAGCTGTGCTTCCAAGTTACTTTCCAAGAAGCTGAGATAGTTTATTTAAGGTTACATGTTTGGATTTGTTTTGTTGGGTTGTGGGTATTTTTTGGGGAGATTTTTTTTTTTCTTTAGAGCATGACTTGAAATGAAAATGTGTATATATATATATATATAGCTATCTATCTTCCCCCCCCCCCCATTCTGACAAAAGTCATCTTTACCAGTAGCTAAAAGGGTCTCAATTCTGTTCAGGTTTACAATTTAAAAGCAGCTAACAATAAATACGACTAAGTGGTCCTGGCCACAAGAGAATAAAGAACTTATGTTGCCTGAACAAAGAGAAAATCGTTTGCATTTTAGTCATGGGAGCTGTTTCAATGATTTGAACAGAATAGGGTTCTAGACTTGAAATGTAACTTTGCTGAGAACTTTTGATAATAAAGTTTTAAAAGAAAACGTACAGTATTTAAGAGTATGTTAAAACCCTTGTAGTAAGGAGTAGCTGATACACAGCATCAACGAACAGGCAGCTGGCTCCTTCCACTTTATCCATTGCTGCTTTGCTGGCAAAATCCTTAAGCAGATGGTAGAGTGTGGAGTGAAGTTCAGAATCTTCTTCTATCTCTTCTGAAAAAGCTTCACTGGTTTCAGTGATTTTGAGCTTTTGTGCTTTCTGGCCATTAAACATGTAAAGAGACCAGTTGTTGTCTTGGACAGAATCTGCTTCAAGATGCTCCCTTACCTATTGCAAGAAAAAAAAATGCACTGTAAGAGGAAGCCTGTGCCACTGACAGAGGATAAATTCTGGTGTGAAATTCTAAATTCTTGTGAGTATAATACAGAAACAACCCCCCTAAAGCAATATTAATACCAGCTCTCTGTGCCTAAGAGCCCACTGTGTACCAGGTGCTCTATCAACACTGAAATCTTCCATCTAGTTTGCCTCTAAACTCCAAGCTTTGGGGACTCCAGCTGCTGTTCCTGACTCCTAGCCTAGCTAGGTGCAACAGGCATAATTTATTTTAGTTTTTACTCCTGAGACCAAGTACTGAGCTAAATATTTCTGGGCCATGCATTTAACTTGAGAGCGAGAAACTTGCTCAAGGTTTCATCAGCAGGGTGTGTTCTCTATCTACAGCCATAACTTTAACCATGTTTTAGTTTACAGGTGGAAACAAATCAGCACCTGAGTTGCTCATTCCCTCCTTTGCAGCAGGGGGTAAATGAAATCAGACTAAACCCACAAACCTTGAACACCACGTGCTCTGGACCTGCCGCTCTGTTCCACCTGCTCGATGCAAAAGCAAATGCAGATGCAACCAGAGCCAGCTGTTGACAGGCCTTAACTTCCGCCAGGGCAGCCTGGAATGCAAAAATACAAGGTGTTTTGGGTTTTATATCTCAGGGAAAGGGACTGACTGTGTCACGTCACAAATGTAAGGAAAAGCTTGCTCCAACCAGAACCCACTGGCTCAGCTGGCAGAACACACACGTGTTCTGGACTGCAGGTCTTCCTGCAAGAAAAGGGTGAAAAGAAAGTAAAAAAGGGGGTGATAAAAACCAACAGGAAAGGCCTTCGCCGTTGCACTCACCTTCCTGGTCACAGGGACATAGTTGTGAGAACAGTCTCCAGGGAAAATGTTCACACCAGCTCTTTTCAGAGCTGCTCGGAGGGCATGGGGACTCATCCATTTTCCTGTGATGTTGGAAAGCACATCCTCCTCCTCCTCCTCCTCCACCACTACTGAAGACAACATACACTGATTGCCCTGTTGAACAAAGCAGTGAAAACAGTTTACAGGGCACGGAATTCACTCACTGCTTTGGGCATCAAACAGTACCATCTTTGCTGTTCTGGGAATTATACACATTATCTGTTACTCTGGGCGGGGAAATTTCATTTATATGTCCTGAAGAAAGCCACTCTGCTGTAGGAATTCAGAAAATACACAGCTGTACTTTTTTGATGCTTTTTTTTTTCAAATCATGATTTACACATTAATGAACATATACACAGTCGTGTAACTTGAACCTTCAGAAGGAACAAGTAGCATTAATAGCCTGTTTAAAATGCTTTTCCTTCTCTGGATAGAGCTGGGAGAAAAAAAGGAATGATTTTTAAGTCTGTAGCTGCTGAAAGTCTTGTGTTGTCTCCACAACAAAGCATTTATTAGAAATTTGCAGAGCAATCATACATATTTTTCCTTCTGACCACCTTAAATAACTGAAATTTAAATAACTAGGACAGTGCTTGGAAATGATCCTCCCTCCTTTTCACTGGCACAGAGAGAAATTCAACTTGGTCTTGTGGAAGCATCTAGAATTCTTAGTAAAGGACACTTTATAATAATTATGGTTTGCCTTTTTTTTTTTTTTTTTTAATCTACCACTGTTTGATTTTTAAAAAATTATTTACATTACCTTAATTCGTATCTGAATTGTTGCCAAGCAGGTAGTAACTACAAGGAGAGCTTCATCCACCCCAGTAGGTTGCAATTCCCATGCTTTATATGGCATGTTGAGATGAGCATCCTGGAGAAGTGCTACTGTATAAAAGCCACCCATCTCAAAGGTGATGCTCTTTTCTTGTGCTTCATACTTTATCTTGCTGATGCCATCAGTTCTCCACTGCTGGGCTGTACAAAAAGGATGTAAAAATACAAGGATGGACATGGAAAGCTTCTGCTGGTGGTATGTGCTGGGGAAGAATTGGTAAAGACATTCCAGGTTCGCTAATATTCACTCACAGCGAAAATATCAGGCACAAAATGAAGATAATTATTTTAAGGCAAAAACTCCCCTCCTTTTAATTGTCTTTAAGTATAAGATTGGGCTAATTTTGACAGGAAATCTTCTCAATTTCAATAGAAAAGAAAATTTAACTCAAAGTAACTGTCATTTCTTACCTGTTAAACAGCAGCCCAAAAGATCATTTTCAAGAGTAATTTTAAACATCTAAACATTTTAATAGGTTCTACTCTCCCTCATGAATATAAAGTCAGAGGGACACTGTATTTATCTAATATCTAGAATATCACAGTTGTTTTTTTTAATATATACATTTCATATTGTAACAATATTAATACATGTAGGTAGGAGCCAGTTTGGCTCAATGTGGACTTTACCTCAACAAAACCTGATTTATGGTAGGCAGTTGTACTGCTGCCCATTAAATGCTGTGTATTTTTTTTTCCTTTTATATTAAGAAGCTACAATAAAAAGCTCCAACAAACCAATCCATTATTAGATATGCTGCAGAAGCAAAAGAGAATTAAAACAACAACTCAAAACAAACCAAATAAAGGAACACTGACATCTCCAAATCAATTAACATCGAAGTGCCCAAATTATTTCTGGGCTCTGAATTGACAATAGTAAAACTCAGGTATAAATTTCACTATTCAAACTTGAAATAAATCTGCGTTCTAAGTTCCTACCTTCGGGATCCCATCGGGCGACCACAGGACTCTTAAAATACACCACATTTTCAGGCAGCCTGAGGGTTATTTGGATTATTGATTCTGTGGCATCCTCAGCCTCCTCGGGGGAATAGGGATACACCTCCAACCCAGCATCAACTAACTTTGGCAAGATGGGAAAAGGACACATAACATTTTTATTAGAAAATGCAGCAGCCTGATTTTTTTTTTTTTCTTGTAAAAGTCCCTTTAAGGCAGTGCCACACAGTGGGAACAGTCCTTTTTCAGCAGATCCACACTCTAAAAAACCCAAGAGCACCCGAGAGACAAAAGCACTCTGCTGTTAGCAGCACTGCACCAGGCTCCAGCAGTGGAAAACTAGAACACAGTGACTACAATCCTCATTTATCCTGCAGAGCCTGGCAGTAATTTTGCTTCCAGCCTGCTTTTAAAGTCTTACCTGTCCCATATGGAAAAACTAAGGACTTCTCTGTTTGCTTTTACTTTGGCCCAGAGCGTTTTCCAGCAGGTGGATCCGCGCTGGCCATGCTGAGGAACCACTGACTGAGCACACTGAGTAAAAGCTGGCCAAGTGTAACTGGAGAATTATTTGATAAATAATAATTTGATAAATAATCAGGGACAGCTTTCCAGGGATGACAGAGAAGAGACCTTCAAAGGGATTTGTAATCCCTTCCCTCACTCACCTCCACCATGGTCCAGTCATTGACTTCCACCACCTGAGGCGGGAGCTGCAGGGCATCGATGTGGAACACGCCGCCCACCGGCACGAACCGCTGCAAATCCACCCACTCTGCAGCTGCTGCCGCCTCTCCTTTGTCTCCTGTCTCTTCCTGCACCGGCGGGTCCCCTTCTTAAAAAAATAATAAATAAATAAATAAATAACACAGCTCTCATCAAACTGAGACGCTGAAATTTCCCACCTCTATTTGCTGGTCGCTTGGAGCGCTTCACGCTCTGCAGAGTTTCAGCCCCACCTGCTGGCGCTCCACAGAGCTTTTAGTAAATAAATGAAATATAGGAGAAAAAAAAAAAAATCACTTCTTGTCTTGGAACTGAGCTTTTTAAGAGATTACTCTCTGCCCTGAATCTGTGGCCAGTTCAAAATGCTCTATATAAGGATTTTACTGACCAAACAAACAAGTCTCGTCATTAACCACGGAAGAATTTCCCAGTGGATTGTGGACAGGTTTAGTAAGATTGCATTGATATGAAAAGAAATCAGGCAAAAAAAAAAAAAAAATCACCTTCCCTGGTGATTTTTTGAGTGACCTCAAAACTCTCGTTTCACAACCAATAGTCAAAAAATAAATAAAAATGAAGACCCGAAAGATGTGATAATTATCAACAGCAAGAGGGATTTACCATGAAACACAATTTTCAGATAACAGTCAAATCTTTCTATGCATAATTACCTATATATTACATACATGTTTGAATTGAAGGCTTAATTAATTGGAAAATGTTATTAAAAGGTATCAATGCCATGGACAAAAATGGCTTGAAGTATTTTCTTTAAAAAAACAACAACAACAACAACAACAACAAACAAGCCCACATAAAACATCAGGTGGGATGCCAAAGGAGGAGAGAGAAGTTACTGCTGACAGGGATCAAGAAAAAAGTGTTCAATAATGTATAAAAAGAGCTACTGTAAGTGTTATGAAATTTGCTTTGAGAGAGTGAGATCATATCAAAAAAAGTGACAACTATCTACATAAAATGTCTTCAAGCTTTTTTAAAAAAAAACAAGTGAAAACGGTGTTAATTGTTATGTCAGATTTAGTTGCGTTGCAGATAGGTTTTATTCTGCTGTATTTACACACCACTATAAAGTCCTTTTGCAGTTATTACGAGCAAAACATTCACAGGAGGTAAAAAAAACCATTTTACTACCAGCCCCAGTGGTAGTTTGCACTTGAACTTGCTTTTTAAAGATAATAATACAAAAATATTTGTCTTCTAAACATAACTATTCATTGTCTCAAGTTTAATTTAACTTTCTAAGAACGGTTAAACCCAGAGAACTGCAGTTCTCCCTCTTTCCCCTGTTGTTGCATTCCTGATTTTTTCAACCCTTGTTTACGTGGCCTCCTGTTTTCACTGAGTTTGTGATAATTTAGTATCCTTTCTACTCTATCCTGAAAAGCAGGGCTGTTCAAAGCCTTATGGGAGCAACACAGTAAATTCCTCCAAATGAAGCCCAAATCCTTTATATTCTCTGGAAAACCTCGCTTGGGTGGTCTTTAGGGTCTAGTCAGACAACTGGTTCCTTGGACTGTGCTCGGCAGAAAAGGTTGCGGGGTGGGGTTTGGTTTCTTCAAACAAGGAAAAGTCTGTAAAGTTGAGCTAAATGACACTAATAATTTGCAGCTGTTATATTTCAGTCCATACTACAAGAAAACTCACTTATTAAACCAAAGGATGACACCATAAGCCAGAAGAAAATTGTAATTTACGCAGGACAGATAAACTGTTTTATGGCCTAGAATTAGGCCCTGTTTTAAGGAAATGTATCAGCACGAATCCTGCTTTAAGCACACACTTAAGTAACAACACTCAGTAACACTCCACACTGCTCAAATGCCTACCATTAAATCCATTTGAATATTTTTTTTTTTTTCTGAGAAAGTCCATCTCACCAGACAGCCTGGTAGATTCATGCACATTGTATGTTCCACCCATAAACATTTATATAATAATAGTAGTACATATATCTACATAAGCTTAAAAAACATGTACATGAACATAAATAAATAAATAACAAATAAATGAAAATACGTATGGGGACAAACTCCATTTTCCTACCTGTCCTGTTATCTCTCTGCATTTAACAATCATTAATAGAAATGTCAACAGACCTCAGGTGTTATCAAAGCATCAGTGCATTTATAAGCTCCATTCACATGGAGATCCATATTGCAATGTTTGAATATATCAAAGAATTTGGGTTGGGTTGGAAGGGACCTTAAAAATCATCTCATTTCATCCCCTGCCATGGGCAGGGACACCTTCCACTAGCCCAGGTTGCTAAGAGCCCCATCCAACCTGGCCTTGGACACTCCCAGGGATGGGGCATCCCTGGGAAACCTGTGCCAGGGCCTCACCCCTGTCACAGTAAACAATTTCTTCCTAATATATAAAACATTTGGCATAAGTACTTTTGTGATGCTGCAGATAAAACCAAACCAAATACCTTGTGATGAAATGTCCAAGTTTTCTGATTTCTTCTCGGTTTCCTCCTCTGTCTCATTTACATCCTCTGTGTTATTGCTGGTTTCTTTCAACGAGGCAACACTCTTCTATATAAAAGGAAAAAGGCATTTTTCCATTAGATGCAATAAAGAAGAGGATATCACCTCCTTCAAGGAGGCCCAAGGATACAGGGTTCAACCCCTCCAGCAAGATTTGCACCAATCTTGCTTCAGGGTCAAGATTTTAGGAGAGATTATTTCTACCTAGCTAGCAGAAATAGTTTTGATTAAAGGTGCTCTCCAATTTGGCACTGGATATATAAACAGAGATAAAGTAATTACTTCTTTTCCACAGCAAATTCCCTCTTGAGCTCCTCAAGTACCATNAAAAAAAAAAAAAAAAAAAAAGAAAAGAAAGAAAAAAGGAATCAAGAATAGTAGGATTTCAAGCACTGATTCACCACAAAGGTGTTGGGGACTGAAAAGGAGAAAACCCAAGATGATGAACAAGGGTTGATCCCTGTATGGGCCATTCACTTAAGAGCTGGACTTGATGATCCTTGTGGGTCCCATCCAACACAGAATATTCTGTGAAATCCAGGAAATTGCTCCAAACACACTAAGAAGGCATAAAATCTGATGTCTGACAGTTATTTCTGCAGAAATTTAAGACAGAGGGCACAAGTCATTTATCTGAAGGCCACAGATGATGCCCAAAGTGAAAAACCCAAACCCAGGAGGAAGAATAGAAACCCAAGCAACCTCCATCATACCTAAAGCCAACATTTAACATGGAAGAGTGCCAAGGAAGAGAACAGGCAGCCAGAAATAGTATTTGAAAAGCCCTCTAAGAGCAAAGGGTCAGCTAAGTACCTGCACAGCCAGCACCTGCTGAACTCTGAATCCTATTCTGCATGCTGCAAAACTTCCTAAAATTGGATTTCTGAGTCACAGAAATATCCAGAGAAGTGGCCACAGCACCAAGCCTGACAAAGGTCAAGAAGCTTTTGGATGACCCTTGCCAGGCACAGGGTGTGACTCTTGGGGATGGGCTCGATGATCCCTGAGGGTCCCTTCCAACTTGGCATATTCTGTGATCCTACAACAGCACCTGATGTTCCCTATGGCTTGATCTTACTCCTAAAACCACCAACCAAATGCCAACTCACCTCTGCCAACTGCACCAAACCTCCCTCTCTCTACCTTCTGTGCGACAGCCTTCGGTCATCCACCTTTCCACTCCCTCGAGAAGATCTATGACAGTATTCATACAAGCTGCCGTTTTCTATAAAACCTTTAAGAATTTGACTCTCATGCCCAGGAGACAGCAAAAAGCTGTGACTGTGTCTCAAGTTAACAAGAGCCACGTACAAAAGCCCGTGCTGAGGGTTTGTACCCACCTTTCTCCCACCAGGACACGTTTCTTCTTCGGCAGGCACGCCGGGTTCTTCTCTGGCTTTCTTTTCCTCCTCTCCTGGTTCTTCTGCATTGTCTTTTGGATGCTCAGCCAGTTCTTTGCTCTCCAAGGCTTCCAGGTCTGGCAGACCTCGACACTGCAGCCACAGCGGGGACACGTGGTCGTAACGGGTGTGCAAAATGCGAACGGCGGCGCTGTTCAGAACCAGGGACTTGGGAACATCAAAGCCGTGCTGGGCATCGCTGAACACGTGAGTTTTGAACCTGGGAACACGAATTAAAAACCAAAACAGACCCTGGTAAGCAAGACTGGCAGCGTTTATTTTTGTGTATTTCTTCAGAAATGCTCAGATCTGTTTTGAGATTTGTTGGGCTGCCTGAGGGACAGAGGGGGATGCCACAACCGACAGCTGTCTGTGAGACCCTCCCAGCCAAGCCACTGCTGCACTAAGGGCATCAGGAGCTGCCAAAATAATGCCTGGACAGGATGACAATGAGGCAGAATCAGATGGCAGTTCCTCTATATAGCACATTCCTGGTAAAGCTCATTTAACAGGTAAACCCTACAGAGGTGACGCCACCAGCTGTGTTACATCAGCCTCAACGCCCTCCAAAGCAATCCAAATAATACCTATTTTTGGATAAGATCAGCTGGCCACAAGTTCCAAGAATCTTCTGCTGAAGCCACATGCAGTTTTTAATTATTGGCTGAGTATCTGAAGTGCATCTCTGTGCTGAACAAAAGGCTTTAACACCACCCCAAATGGGCTCTTCCTGAAGGTCAGTATGACGTTGCCCAGCACTCAGCCTACTAGTTGCTTACAGCAACAGGGCCTGAGTCAAGGTAAAGCCCTTTTAGTAATTTATTCCTCATATTTGTGCAGTGGAAACAGGCAGTTCTGCTCAAAAATCTCGTTTTGAAAAGGATACCAGTTAAATGGCAACCTAATAAAAAACCAAATCTCAGCTTCAGAACCCACTCTGGAGCATCCCATGCTCCAGAATCTTTTACCTAACAGAGAACTGAGCACAAAGCACCACCAGTCACTGCTTTGCAAGCCACTGTAACAGCTTAGAAAATATTTAATGCATCAGCAAGAAACATCCCTTCCAGAGGAATTTCAATTCTCTGCAAGGGTTTTTATTGTTTTTCTTCAAAATTTGTTCTGGCAGTAACTGGCTCTACAGCAGCATTTTAAGAAACAAATTTATATACGTACATGTATATAAAAAAGATCATGAAATTGGTTCTTGGTATTTACTCAACTTGGGTAGACAAGGCCAGGCCTCATTTCAGATTAAGAATTTCAGGGTGCTGTACCTTACTTTCTTCTTCAGATTGACCCAAACACAGAAAGTAACATTTTTATCCTTTATGACTGCCTGCATATTTCCAGTTTCAGAATCTTCATAC